ATACCTCTGATCATTTTTTTTGGGTAACCTCTGAACATTTCAAAGAATCCTTTATAGACAATTCTTATTCTTATAAAACATATTATTACTATGTATTGCATTATACGTGTTTTATTGTTTTCATCAGAATTACTATGTATTACATCATATTAGTCGATTAGAAGTTCTTGCTATAAGGATTTTGAAAAAAATTAAGGAATGTGGTAACAAAACCCTAAACCCCAATTTGTTTTGGAAATAATTGGGAATGGTAAGATCGAGAGAAGTTTTAGATAAAATGATAAGTGACACTCAATGCGCTTTGAGAATATAACAACATGATTATTTGAGAAACGTTGACCATACGATCGGGAATGTAACGAGTATTGCTTTGAGAAGAAATAGATTTGGGGTGGTCGGGATGGATGGGGTGTATGCATTGGTGCAGTGTTGGGAGAGCCTTATGCCGGCAGAGTGTCGGCAATGCTTGCAGAAGGCGGCAAAAACGGTGAGAGGATACGTACCCAAGGAGGAAGGGAGAGCTTTGAATGTTGGGTGCTATTTCACGTACTCTATAAATAGGTTATATAATGATAGGGTCGATTCTAATGGTCATTGTGGTAAGTCTTTTGCTTTTTGTTTTTCCTTTTTGAAGATACTGAGCTTGATTTTAATGTAGAAATGTACTGAAGTTGTCCAAAAGTGATCTTGCTCAAGTGTAGGATATGTATTTGTTTTTGATAGAGTATCTTAAACATTTTTCCAGGATTCCTATGTATTTAGAGGGTGATTTGAGATTATTTCTTAGTTGTTCTAGAATAGATTCTGCAATTTATTTTAGATATTTTTGTTGTATTTAGCCTTTTTTATATAATAGAGATTGTTGATCTCTGGTTGGTTGCTGGATTTCCTGCTGGAACCGCTTGGATTGTTGGTGGTTTTGTTTCATATTGTAATAGAAACATAGATGTTGGTTTTTCACAATCACAAAGTTATCGATGTAAGGAGTTTTGGGAATAATCGGGTATAAGTGAGATTATAAACATGTGTTTTATTTTTTTCATTAAATTCAAATTAAGTATCTATTAGATAACATTCAATACATTATTTAATCAAGTAATAAGCTTGGTTTAGTGACAAAACTCGTGCCACTCCACAGCAATTACCCATGTTCGATTCCCTTTCTACGCTATTCTTCTTTTAAGGGTTTTTCTTATTGGTCATAAATAATTAAATATAAATACATTAATCATAATAATTATTTATTTCATTTTTAAAAATTATGATGTGGCAATGCCACGTCATCATGAGCTCTGACATGGACACTCCATGTCGGCATCTACGTCTATGTGTATATGCTTGATCAGCATCAGACGTTGACCGTCAGTTAACTGACGGTTTCCATCCACCGAGGGTATTTTTGACCCAAAATTAAACGTTGAGTGGACGAATGTGTCAAAAAATGATACGGGTATATTTGCCACTACAGTCAAACGTTAGAGTTATTTTATTACGTTATGCCAATTAAATATGCACTCACCTTTGTCACACTGTTGAACCACTCACCTTTGCCACACTGTTGAACCTTCTCTATGATAGTCTTATCAATCCCGCACTTTTTCCTTCCTTTCGGGTTACTTGGATCACTAGATTTATCGTGGTATGACCACATAATATAATAACATAAAATATTCAAATTATATGTTAGTATTGAACTAACATAATCTAAGCTTAAATATAGGATTCGATATAAATAAAATTGATGCTTAAATCAATATGAAAATAAATTGTATTTCCATCATAATTTCAAACTTCAAAAAATATTCATTCAATTACAAAAATATTTATTATCATCGTAAACCCTTCAACTTTTTCCAATTCCACAATAAAGTCAAAACTTATTAATTCTTTCTAGACCTTAATTTTTCCATTAACTTCATAATATCCCATCATCATTATGACTATTTCACCTTCATTAATAAAATTTCCAGCATCTTAATAAGATCCTCAAATCAGTACTTTAACATTCACAAACTTGAAATTTTATCCCAAAGTTTCTTAGACTTTTCGAATTCAACCATCCATCTTTATAAACTTGTAATTAAATCCCAACTCATTATTTAAACTCAAAAATCAGCATACTAAACAAATTTCCAGCATTGTAAGTTCTTGTTCAAAATAATACCAACACATTTTAAAATTCACAAACAAATCCCTATAATATCAAGACCTTTCGAATTCCACCACTAAATTTGGTAAATTTAAAATTTGGCTCCAACCAACTTTATAACTTAAAATTCCAGTATTTCAATATTATAAATCAACATTAAGTTCCTTAATTAGCACATTTACACGTTAAGATCCCAAAACTTGCTAAATAACCCTTTTTACTATTTCAAGCTTCTAAATTGATCCTAATTGATCTCTAAATCACATAGAACACTTCTAATATCAACACTAGACCATAGGAAATTTTTCAACATTTCCCCCAATTTATTCCCCTATGACCCAATATATTATGGACCCTAAGGCTTGATTTCCATTCAATTTCAAGCATGAATTCAACTTTCTTACATCAAAATCATGTTATTCTAATAATCACTTCACACTGCATCAGAATCTCAACATTCACAAAATCCCTAATATGGTCGAATGATGTATAAGCTTCTACACATCATTTTAATTATCACACATGCCTTAAAATTAATCTCCAACCTCAAAAACATAATAATCCTTCATCAATTCTTCAAAATCCATAAACCCTACAAAAACCCTAATTTCCAATATCTTAAAATAAGTATGATCATCATGTAATATTTATAGCAAATGATAGAGAATCACACGTAGATTAATTCTCTATCTAATAGCTTAATCCAAAAATCAATCGAATAGGCTTGAAAATAAAATCAAAAAGTATTATCTAAATGGCTATGGAGGTTCGGCCAAATTAAGGATAAGTAGTTGAAAATTCCTTTGATTGTTCTTGTAATTATCAATTAAAAACACTTGGCACCATTCTAATAAAATTCAATTTAAAATTCAATTTATGAAAAAATCCAATTTCACCCTTAATGAATCATGATAATTACCAATTGACATTAAAATATCTTCTATTAAAATATCCCATAGTTAAAGGTGAACCAATTTGGCTTTGAATTTCTAATTTGGCTATGCAATTTTCAAAAATTACATTTTAGTCACTAAAATTCCATTGTTCAGACAAATTTGAAAAATTACACTAATGTAAGCTAAATTTCTCAAATAGAAAATATGTAAATAACAATTCCAATCCTTAAATAACATCCTTCAAATTTGCGTGAAATTCTGACTTGATCCGATTATTTGATTTCTATATCGAATTTTATCGCTTTATAACTTTTAACACAAATCTCATACCAAAAATATAATTCCCATGAAAATTCTTGTTTTAGGCCAAATTGTTCATTTATGGGCTAAAATATATAACTTTTAAAATTTACAATTTTGGTCTCTAAACTTTTACATAGTTTATATTTTAGTCACCAAAATTTCAAAACTTACATTTTAGTCACTAGTTAAAATTTGGGATATTACAATACTTCTCAACATAACTATTGACTGTAATATTCCAAAAATCACACTTCAAGTCCTTTATTATCAAATTCATCCAATACTTCCAAACTTAATTTCAAATTCCATAATTTAACCATAAAGTGAATTCTTTTAGAATTCATCTCAACCTTTGCAATTTATTTAAAATAGTCCTTTTCCATTTCACTTTAATTTGATTCCAAACACCAAATTTCCAGCATTCTAATATCGTATTCGAACTAGTGCTTTTAAACTTGCATAATTGCCATTTAATTCCCATACTTTCCCTCATTCATAATTTAGTCCCCTAACTTTAGCAAACTTGAAATATGGTCCAAATCATCATTCTAAACTTAAAATCAGCATTTCAATATAAATTTTCAGCATTGTATATCAATTATTAAACAATTGCATTTCAATCCCTAAAATTGTCAATTTATATGAAATAGTCCCTATACTTTCATAAACTTACAAATTAATCCAAAACAACATTCCAACATTAAAAATCAACATTCTAATCCTCATTTTCAACATAGTACTTCATCTATTTCACAATTACACTTGAATTCCCAATTTTTCCTAAATATGCAAATGGTCCCTAAACTTTCATCAAGTTCCAAATTGGTCCAAACAACTGTCCAAAGCATGTAGAATCATTCTAATATCAATTCTAACCCATAGGAGATTTTGTATAATTTTCCTCAATTAATTCCCCTTAGGCCGAATACCCTAGAATAATTCTAGTCTTGATTCCAACTTGATTCAAGCATGAATACAACTTCTCAATATCATTTCCAAGCAATTCAAATTAATTTTACATCAATTTCAATCCAAAATCACAAATTCTTCCGTAAACCCTAGGTTGGATGAAACTTAAAATAACATTTCTACGTAGTTTTAATCATCTCACATACTTGGAAACAACTGTACTACATCATTAATATAAAAATCCAACTTTAAATTATCAAAATTCAACTTCCCCTTCATCCACCAATTTCATGAAATCAATCTTTCAAGGGAGAATAATATACCAAATGATAGAGAATTTGATGTAGATTAATTCATTATTTTACACCTTGATCCAAAAATAACTAAATAAGCTTGAAAATGAAAAAAAAAATTCTTACCTTAACTATGGTGGTTCACGGCCAAGAAGGGATAAGATACATAATTTTTCTTGATTTTTCATCATTTATTAGTCTTTACACTTGTTAAAAGGTAATTAAATTGAACATAAAATTCATTTTAAGTTAAAAGGCCTTTTTATCTTTTCAAAATCATGATAATTACTAAATTACAATGACACTGCCGTATCATCGTTCAAAGTCAAATATGACACAATGATCGAGTTTTGTAACAGTTTCCCGTTAAAAGAAACCTAACAAACAAACTGACGTTTAATTATTTGTTTATCCTTTTTATTACTTTTCCTTTTATAGAACAAATTTTCCCCTTCCTACAATTCAGAAACCGCCAATTCCAAATTCTCCGGCAATTTTCCAGATCTTTCGTTACATCCAATTTAATCTTGGTAAAAAGGAAAAAAATTATGTTGTTTTGCAGTCACAAATGATTTTTATATTAATTTGTCTTCTTCGTCTATTGTTTTATCCTGTTTAAGATTTTTTTATATCATTTTTTTTACTTTCAAATTCTGGCATTGGTTTTGTTAGTTTTTCCCTTCGATTTTCTCTCGGTATGAAGGTAGGCTAATTTGTCTGTTCTTTCATGAAATTCGGTTACAGTTTGACGTTTTTTAAAAAAGAAAATTAATTTCTTATCGGTTTTATTTTCAGAATAATAATTATGAATTTCCTGATGAATTAGGGTTTCTGTTATATTAGCCTAGAATTTTGTTAAATCATGAAATTTTCCTTCTCGTAGAGTTCTTCATTGGTTTAATTAAGGGTTGTTGTTCCGTGTTCCATTTAACTCTAGATATGTGAGAGCAAAGCAAAACAACAGATTTTCTAGGTAAAACAGTAGCACTCGGTTTCTCAACTTCTGTATGAGCTGTAGTTTATCTTTTATGTAAACAATGAAATAGAAACATAATTTTGCTGTTAACTTGTCGCTAATCATTAACTTTATTATTCTACAAGGAGCTGAGCTGATATGGATTCTCATTGGAAACCCTATGAATAAACCTTTTAAATTCTTGATGTTTGCTAAAGAAATTGTGACATCTGCATTGGGGTAAACCTGCCGTGTTAATGAATCCTGTGTATTAACATCCTCGTCAAATTTGGCTTGGTCTACATATTCATCTTCATTACGTTCATTTGGGATATTTAAATCTAATCCAGAATTTTTGGCTTATTAGCTGGTTGATTGGTTAATCTGCATAGATTTTTCAAAAGATCGATTTGATATGTATCACTGCTCACCCTTGCATACAATGGAAATCATAGTGTTGATGCATGTTTCCCTATTTTCTTCTTATTATTGTGATATAATTGCTGATGTGAGGATGAGAATGTGATTATTTGGACTGCAGGTCATGTGCCACCAAAATTTGTCTGCAGTGGAAACAGATACAGCTGTAGAGAATCTATTAGTATATTGCAAGCCTGTTGAGTTATACAATATTCTTCATCGCCGTGCTTTACACAACGTAATACTATGCTTTTCTTGCTGAACATTGCATTCTCTGTATTTCACCATTTGGGAATTCTTGCTAAGATATTCAACTATTTTTGGTCAAATATATTCCTTGGTTAATCTCTCCTATAAGTCACATAACTGCATAACCTTAATTTGATGATTTGAGGAGGTATGCCTCATAGCATGTTTCTACTATTTTGCCTGATGGTTAATCAAATATCATGTTCTGCTTCAGCCTTCATTTCTTAGAAGATGTCTGAAATACAAAATACAGGCGAGGCATAAAAAGAGGTATGAACTTCCCTGTCAATCTATGCTTTTGATATATGAAGTAACACTTTGAACTTTTCTTACTTCCTTGAATTAGGGCTGATAAGAAACCTGACCAAACCGAAAACTGAACTAAACCAAAGTGTTTTGATGGTTCATGGAATACAAGATTTAAAAATGTGATCACCTGAACTGAAGTCAATTTTTATTTAATGTAATATTTTTTTATAATGGAAAAATAAGTGTTCTGAAGTTCAAATAATGAAAATAAATAAAAAAATATTATATAAGAATAATTAATTTTTTTATTTATTTGAAAAATTAATTTTTGTAGAAATATTTACGAAAATGACTTTGAAAATTTGTCAAATAAATGTAGAAAAATAAAAAAAATCCATTTTTTTTCAAAATAAAGTCAGAAAATTCGAAACCAAATATCAGCATGGAAAAACTGAGAATCAAACCGAATTAAAACAGACGGTTTAGAAAATCCAATTAACCCGATCAGACAAGACCAAACCGATCTCACCCCTACCTTGAAGTATGATATCAGCTTATTAATTTTGCCAGTAACCATCTGCTTCAGTTTTCTGTTAGTAGAAAACTTTAAGTGTGTATATATGTGTGTGTGTGTGTGTGTATATATATGAAATAATCATAGACTCATAGTACCTAGAGATCCCTCATAAGAGCAGCCTGAAATAATCTAGTTCTTTGAGCAGATGATTGTTTTCTCCTTGGGTGAGGATTATGTGATTAAGGTTGGCAAGTATGGTTATTTAGTGGGAACTATATGTTTCTATGCTATTTCTCGCTTCTGAGAAGTAGCATGGTTCTTTGATGTTTGAATTAAAATCCTTATTCATAACTAAATTTGTTATAAAGGGAAAGTGAATGTTTATTATTTAGGTGAGATTCATAATGCGAGTGAGTTCCAGGTTGGTGCATGATGAAGGATTTGATGTGGGCAGTTGGGAAAATTTAGCACCAGAAGAATTGTCTTCAAGACAGATGCCCTGAGACAGTTTCAAAATCCTACAACTCTTCAAAATTTTAAGCATAGCCCCTAAATTTTTTCCATTTATACTTTTGAAAAACAGATGACTTCTATTTTCCCAAAATACAAATAGAGTTAAAGATATCACCAAATTACTAACTAAAGTTGATACTGATTGCTGGAGTGCGGGTGTATTGCTCTATTGACCTACTTAATAACTACAGCTATGAAATTCTTTTCCTAGAAAAAAGGAAAGAAAATTTATGCATTTCTAACAATTATGCATTTTCTTTATTACTTATCATGTTGTCAACTTAACTAGGATCTGATAGTGTAGGTTGAGGGCTGGAATTGTAATTTTCAACTATAAGGATTATGAAAATATACTACAAAAGAATGAAGGCTGATCTCTTTATCTTTAATGAACTTTGCATTGTACATGATAATTGCTTAAACTGTTAGCTAAAATTGATTATCTGAGCTCTAATTCCCCTGTTCTTTCCAAAACTTTTGAACTTGCAGTAACTGAAGATTTCTCTTTCCCCTTTTGCTTGATGCAATGTGCAAGTTTTAAGGTGGATGCTCATCTGTTTTCTTCACTTATCTTGAGTGATTCTTTCATAACTTTGATAGGTTATCTCACATTGTATCAAAATTCAATTTATCTAAAGAGAAAACAACAGGATCCAGTGCTAATTAAATTTCCTTGCACTGATAAAATTCATTGTCATATGTGTTTAAGCATTATTTTCTTCTCGTATGAATCTTTTCTTCTTCTTTTTTCCAAATATTGCAATTTTTCGGATTCAAACATTTTTCTGATTTTCATTTTACATAGATAACTAGTTCTGTTTATGGAGTGAAAAGCTCGTTTGACACGACCCATCGTGATGTTTGTTCACAGGGTCTGCGGTATCACTTGTGCTCATCACAAGATTTATTCAACTTTGACTTCTGGGTTGGTAGCTGAAATATTAAAGTCACTCACCATTCAATTGAGATTTTTCAGATAGACTATTGAAAATATGTCTATATTTTTGATAACAGAGGAGTATCAAGCTGTGAATGTCTCTGTGAAAATTGATTCATTAATATCTGAGGTAAAAAAAATTCCTTCCATGTTCCTTCAAGATTCACATGGAAGCTTAGATTTGTATAAGTGACAATCCTGCTGCCATCTAAGATGGTATATCATGTAATTTTAGACTTTAGAGAACAAGTGCAATTAATGATTGTTGGTATGGGGTGGTTCATTGTTCATAATTAACAATGGTTGAAGTTGAAAATAAATATCATTTTATTTTGTCTTTTCTAAGTTTTAGAAAATCAATTGTGTGACCAGACAAAAAAACATGATTGACTTCTCAAACTTTAATATCCTGCCATTATTACAGGCTTTGGCAAATGGAGTAGACCCACGAGTAGAAACTTTCTGCTTCTGGTAGGGTATAATTATTTGGGTACATCTTGCTTCTTTCAACTGCTATGAAATCTTCTTGCCAGAAATAAATTCTATTAGCTCAATGGTAAAAGGAATTGCATGTGCAGCTGAAAACCACGAAGACTTAGGTCTACAAGCCATCTGCAGAGCGCGAAGAATGTCAATGTACAATTTTTGGAGTTGGACTCTCCCAAAATGGTCAGTGAAAGCAGCAGGCAGAATGGATTTCTGGAGAATGATGATGGTAATTTTTCTAGCAACCTTTTCATTTTTATTTTTGTCTGTCTTTATGTTTAATGCTAGTCTTTTATTAATAGTGTGGGAACTGCTAATGCTTTACATCTTGAAATCACCAATTTAATTTTGTAACTTATAAGTAAACAATACTAGAAAAATGAGTCCATATTTACCTTTCTTGAACATAACTTTTGAACTCTCTGAATGTGAGAGGGCTTTCAAGTCAATTCCTATTGAGAAAGTTGTGCAGAATGGATGGCATGGTCGGGAAAACTATGCCTCTGATTATGCTAGTACAACTGAGTGTCCTGCCCAGGTTGCAACTAGTTCTGATGGTCCAGGAGTTTCAATTGCAATGGCCCATTCTGTAACTGATGCAGCAGCTCTTCCTGCGAAAATAAGGAAAATAGTGGCAGAACGATATGATTCTAGGAAGTATGTTCTCCAAGGCAATTTTTGCATCGGTCAATTCCATTTTGCAGCGAGCTTTTCTTTTATATAGTCTCTCTCTCTCTCTCTCTCGTGTTTATTCCATTGCTCAATGTGCTTTCTGCACTTCTTATTTTGTTTCCATCCCCCTTACGTTTTGTTTGCTGATAGAAAGTGTTGCCTTCTTAAATCGCCAAAGTTTAGGCATGCTAGTATTTTATTTTTTAACGTTTCAAAATGTTGTCCTCTGACAGCCCCCTGCTCCTGCTGAAACGCCAATTCTTTCACTCACACCGAGTTCAGGTGATCAGTTTTAGCTATTTGCTTAGGTTAATTATAATATGGGACTTTTCATTAATATCCACGTCATGTGATGCCATGACCTCTCTGTTTTCTTTTTATAATACTATTTCTCTGTCTGCACTGAAAAGTTTTAATTGCTTATTTACCTGAAGCCAATGGAAATGGACCAAGTAATGTCTGATAGAGACAGTGAAGACGAAGTTTATGATGACATTGCTGATCTTGAAGATCGCAGGGTACAGTTACAATTTTGCATCTAAATATTTCCTTTGTTTTTTCCGACCTTCTCATTATCACAAAACGCTTGCCTAAGTTTTAGATTTTGTGCAACTCAGGAATTCTAGCATTTTTTAGTGCATTAGAACTTGGAAGGGTTTATTTTCGTGATTCTCTTTCTGTGAAACAGAGTGCAAAAAGGAGTTCCTTGATTCTTGTGTAATGTCATTTTAAGTTCAGGCAGTCGAATTATAACAAGGAAGTAACATCAAGTTAGTGTTCATGCAGTGAATTGAGAGGCAAAACTGTTATTACTATTAATAATTTCTTCGATGTGGCATTTGAAAATGGTTGGAAAAACTGGATCAGCGGTCAACGACATAAAATTCTTAACTTGGTAATTGAACTGACTAGAAGAAATGTATTTTAGCATTTTGCGAGTACAAGTATGTAATTAAAAAGAAAAGAAAATGTATTTAAATCATTCAACTTGATTGGCGCCAGAAGAACCTTTGAACAAGAATTTTACTATTTTGGGTTTCTAAAATCTTCAGTTATCATAGGAAAGAAGTAGAGTCATTAAATAAGTAGTGATTTGTTTGTTTAGACAACCAATTCTTTTCATTTGTCTTAACTAGAAATAGTTTGCTCAAATTTTTGCTTGTATTTTAAGAACATTAATTTGTTCTTGGTCCTTGCACTCGATGCGTCTCTAACCAAATCTTCTGATTTTTCAACTTCTAAGAAGTGAGAGATAACAACAGAAACAATTTGTAACAAATGCTTGATGATTTTGTGGATGTTAGCAAAGATGAGAAGCAGCTTATGCATCTTTGGAACTCATTTGTTAGAAAGCAAAGGTGGTCTTTGCTTAATCCTTGAAGCTTTCTTTCCTTCTTTTGTCAATTGAATTCATAATTGTCATTTACTTTTCTTTTCCCTTAACCATTTCTAGATGTTGTATATCAAGAAATTATAAGAAGATTCTAATACTTGAGCTGGCACCCCATAGAACTGATTTCTTGTGGTCTTCTTTCTGATTAAAATCGTCTCCTGATTCATTCGCCAGGGTTCTGGCTGATGGTCACGTTTCCTGGGCATGTGAGGCTTTCTCTAAACACCACGGGCCGGATTTGGTCCAATCACCTGCTCTGTTTTGGTAATGTTCTTGAAAAAATTTGAAAATTTTTAACTCTTTCGTTTTTTACAGCTGAAGTTGTGTTTTGCCAACAATTAAGAATAACCACTACATTGAGTCATGGAATTGGAGTTGACCAATTTTTAGGCAGATAGAGATGGTAAAAACCAACTGTAAACGGCCGATGCCTGCTCAAATTTTAGTTATTGAAGTGTTCGGTTAATTAACAGTAGACAAAAGATTGGCTTCTGAATGGTATGCATAGAAATCCATTTTGAACCCTTTTTAAGCAACATTTCATCAACATTTTCTTTGGATACTGCAAGTGAGATACTCGTGCTCGTATTTTAAAACTTTGTTTGAAATGTATTTTCTTATTAATGGTAATTAGAGATTGTTGTTATATTTGATAAATTATTTGAAATGTTATGTATTTTCCTACTCAGGTGTTGGAAGTTATTCATGATAAAACTTTGGAATCATGGTCTTCTTGATGCCTGCGTAATGAACTGTAACTTAATACTTCAGACATGCCAAAATGAGAGATCGGATGCTACGAAGAGCTGAAATATTATGAAACGTCAAATGGAGCCCATTTTTCTCCCATGATTTGGTCACAATATTCTTGCTGGAAATTGGTTCTTAAATAATTCATTCTCCAGGTAACTAAATGCTTACTTCTCATTGTTCAACACTAGCATCAGGTTCAATTTTCTAAGATACACTGAAGTAAAGTGTTCTGAGTCTCATTGTTTTTGTTCTGAACTGATTATGCTGCTAAATATATAATGCATATATGCTTGTTTCTTCTTCATGGCTTATTCATTATTGTGTTACCCCAAGTCCTCGTAATTAGATCTGTTCATAAGCCCGGTTACCCTAGGTGGCAAGGATTTAAATTGCGATTGTGGTTGGTTTTCAATCGCATTGCATTTATCGCGGTTACGGATATAACAGATGTTACTGCGGTCATTGCAGGTATTGCGGTCATGAGGAGTGCAATTTTATTTTGAAAACAAAAGAGCTGATTTAAAAAAAATAGAGTAGCGGAACAATAGCGAGAATAGTGATATGCTATTAACTTGTTAAATTACGGTCGCAGCTATTGGTGTGATTCCGCTTCACACCGCTATTTTCCACAATAGTGATTTTAGACTCTGCCGTTACTGTTAAATAGTGGTTGTTATTCCGTTACCTGCCGCTATTTGAATCCATGCTAAGAGGTTTGAGATTTTATTAGGGATGTTCATTATTCGGTTTTAACTGAATTAACTAACTGAATTGAATTAGTTCAGTTAATTCGATTAGCCACCGAATTAATTCGGTCGGGGAACGGTTAATACTTTTTTAATCTTCGGTTAATAATTAATTCGGTTCGAAATCGGTTAATTAATTGAAATTATTAAATATTATATATATTATAAACATATTTTAAGCACAAATCTATTAAAAATTAATACCGATTATTTTTTTAATCAAACTATACTCATTAAATTATCAATACCTAATTAATTTTTAACTCAAATAAAAAATATACATCTATTATAATTAAATTAATCTAAGTAAAAAAAGGTATAAAAAATCGGTTTGCTCGGTTCGGTTAATATTTTCAAAAAATAGTCATGTTCGATTAACGGTTAAAGAAAAAATTCGATTAATGATAATTCGATTCGAGGGAGGGGGAGGGGGAGGGGGGGGAGGAGGGAGAGAGGGAGAGGGAGAGGGAGGGAGAGAGGGGGAGAGAGAGAATAGTTGAGAGTAGTTGAGACTATTAAGAGTTGGAAGACCATAGGAGGGGAGACCTGGAGCCGGTAGTAATACAAACCCTGCAAATAGAGACTGCTCACCGAAACATTTATTCATTGTATGAGTCCTTAGCTGATATGTATACACATGGATCTAGAGTCTTTCACGCGTTATAATTTTTTAAACTTCGATTCGTTTTTTTAATTATTTTAAGTTTTAAGATTAATAGTAGAAAATGATTTTTTTATAGAGAAAAAGAATTGAATTATCTTAAATTTAAAAGATTTAATCTTAACTATTAAATGTAATTAGTCCAACGAAGATAATAAGATAAATATTATATCTGTGAACATATTACTAACAACTAAATTTGGCTCCGTAGGTAAATGCTTCTTTCTCATGTAATCCCAAGTTTGATTCCTTGAAATACACTCTGTTTTCATTCGTTTTTTATTCAATAAAATAATTATTTAAATAATATATTTGTAAATAAAATTTCATTAATAAGATGTATTATTATATTATTAAATTTATTAAATATTTTCAATTAAAATAAATGTTATATTAATTAAATTTTAAATATTTTATTAAATTATTTCAAATCATAATCAAATTAATCTAATGTATAAGTTTTAGAGAATAAAATTGTTCTTACATCAATTTAAACCGTCTTCTCCATTAGTTCTACTATCAAAATTAATGATAAGGGATCAAAAATAAAAATAAGCATAATACTAGATATAATTTTATCAAAAATGATTAAATGATAAAAATATATATAAAAAGATAAAGCACAAAATATATAGTTAGGCCTGACAAATTCGATCATTTGAATTGTTTTATTTGACCTGAAATTTGATATAAATCTAAATATGATATAAATTTAATCTGAAACTCGAGTTGAAGCAATCTAAATTAAAATCAACTTGAATTTTAGTTGGACCAATTTAGATCCAAACTGAAAAAAAAAAATTGAATTAAAAGCAACCAAAATTGAAAGTAATTCGAATTGAAATTAATCTAAATTTAATTTACTGAAGTTAGATTTGATTGAACATTGACTCAATTTTAAGTCAAAGTGATTAAATATATTTTTATTTAAAATTAAAATGTTATTGATAGTATAATATTATTTGAAAAATCGCTTAAATCAATATTCACTTGAATATAATTAATTTATTATTTTTGTTCAGATTCAATAAAAATATTATATTTATAATTAAATAATAAAAAAATTGGTTAAAAAATTCTAATTAATAATAAAATTTATAATTAAAATTTTTATTTTTCAGTAGCACATCATAAATTTTTCGGATTGATCAATAAGAAAAAAATATAAATTCTAACACGTGAAAACATATGATTGAGATTAAAAGTAGGAAATGTGAAAGATATTTACTGGAAAAATACAATAAGTCAATCTCAACAATCTATTTTCACTCATCCAATGGTCCTAAATTTGTGTAAAACTAAAAAGTTTTACATTGTGTAAGTAGATCCTAACTATATATATATATTCGATCATACTCCTATCCAATTCAACTCGAATTGACTCGAACATTTAAGGGTTATTCGATCCGAAAATCAATTCATTTGGTATTGACCCAACCCGTAAATTGTTCGATCCAACATTGACTTGACTCGAAAATCAATGAATTTATATTAACCGAACCGTAGATCAATTGATCTAGTATTAACCCTACTCAAAATTAACTTGGTCCGATGTTGACCAAACCTAATATTAGACCCAACTTATCATAAACCCATACTAAATTTAAATCAAACCTATTTTGACCCGAATCAACCTGAATCAAATATAAACTTGACCTAAAATTATTCAACTTTAAATGACTCGATCTAAACCTAATCCGAACGATCTATTTACCACTATGGTCTACCCTAATAATAATAATAATAATAATAATAATTTTGACCAATAATTCTATCCAAAGCAGAAACTTTTTGGGAACCAACCAAGAAATGCAACGCAAGCAAAGCATAAAACCTCAGCCGTTTGATCCTTGATTTGAATATACTTTTCCAACGAATCCGATGGTGAAATATTCAACAGGGTACACACGACCTTTTTCGCTGTGTAAAAGAAAAGAACACACTCTGCTTCCTTCTTCCATCCTCGAAGCACCGTTGAAAATGTCTGAAAAGCCAAATTCAAACCCTCCCTTCTCATCTCCTATATAAAGCTTCCCACTCTCTTCTTCTACTCTCAACCAAGAACTACTTCAAAATTATTCATTCAATTTCTCGAAAAAAAATCCTTTGAAATTCTTTTATTTGTTCTTTGGATATGGAAGCAAGCAGTGAAGTATCAAGCACGCTTCAATATATCAAACGATATTTACTCGACGAACTTTCTCCAGTTGGATTAGGGAGTTTTTCTACTCAAAATCAATGGATTACTGAGACGAAGCCTCAAGTTTCCACCTCTAAATTGGAGATTTCGAGCTCTGATTCGTCTCTTACTGTATCCGATTTTAATTCCGTGGACGATAATGATTTCTTTCAATTCTCTCCTAATTTTCTTGGCTTTCAATTTGAGTCGAAACCTAAAGTTATCGATCTCACCACGCCTAAATCCTTCTCATCCAACGCCGGTGCTTTTGGATTTGAGTTCAAACCTCAAACACTTTCAGCGGCTAAACCTGAAGTTTCTTCGAATTCGAGCTCTCGGACTCGAAAACCGTCGCTGAAAATCTCGTTACCTCCGAAGGTGGAGCAGATTCAGTTCGGTACACCGGATTTAACTCAGGCAGAGCCGAAGAAGCATTACAGAGGAGTCCGACGAAGGCCGTGGGGGAAGTTCGCGGCGGAGATCAGAGATCCGTCCCGACGAGGGTCTAGGATCTGGTTAGGAACCTTTGAAACGGCCATCGAAGCCGCAAGGGCTTACGACCGAGCTGCTTTCCAGCTACGTGGCTCGAAAGCAGTTGTTAATTTCCCTCTTGAAGTAGGAAAGTCGGATGCTAGCGCCGACGACGGAGAGAAGAAACGGAGCAGAGATGACGGCGAAAGGGGGGAGAGAATAGTGAAGGCAGTGAAGAGAGAAAATGATGACGTGGCCAAAGAGAAAAGTAACGGTGAAGTGCCTTTGACGCCGTCAAGTTGGTCTACCTTTTTGGATTTGGAGAATATGAAGGGGATATTTAACGTGCCACTGTTGTCGCCGTTGAGTTTTCCCCAAGTTCTAGTTATATGACGATGATTTGTCAGTTTTTTAAATGGCTGACGTGGATATTTTATTAAATTCGTTCAAGATTTTTTTTATATTGTATATATATGCCCGAATTTCTATTAAAATATTCTTTCATTGGATTATTCAATTTCAATTTTGTTCAATTTTTTGTTGAAAAAATTTATCATCGTTATTATTATTTTTAACTTTTTCCAAACATAGTAATAAGTCTATAATTCGGTTATTTTATAATCTAACCAGAACTGTCTGTTTAGATTAGGGATGATTAATGAGTTGAATAAATTTATAAGTTGCTTAAATGATTCGTTAAGACTCAATCAATGCTCAACTTGTTTTAATTTAAAGATTTTAATGAGTTGACTCGATAATAATTCATTAATATTTTTATAATTTTTAATAGATAGCTTAAAAAACTATTCAATTAAAAAAATGTCTAATCAATAATTATTTTTTTATTAAAAATCTATTCAATTAGAAAATGCCTAATTAAAAAATATTAATTTACTAATAGATAATATGAAAGATGATATATTACTACATAATAAATACTATTAACTTATTAATTTCCAATAAATAATAAAAATATTAAATATTAAATCAATTATTAATTTACTAGAATTTAAATATAGTTAAAAAAATAAGGTAAAAATTCTTATGTGTTTAATGAATAACGGGTCGAGTCGAACAACAATTTTTTTTAAAGAGCATGAGTCAAGCACTAATCAACTCCTGATCGACTCACTCGATAGACATCTCTAATTTGGATATAGCAAATGCGGGGAAAAATTTTTTTTACTTTTTATTAATTAAAATAAATGAAAGCAAAATATTTTGAATTCCATTTAAAAACACTCATTTTTTAATTATATAGGTAGCTAGACGAGTTCATTTACATAATATATATTAATGTTTATATGATAATTAATAATTATAATAATACTTATATTAATTGAAAGTTTGATTTTTTTTGGTTGTTAAAATGGTTGTAGAAACTAGGAACTAAATTTTGTTTAGATTGGTGTCCTTTCTCTCGTCCTCGATTACTCCTCGGACATTTTCTTGGGGTTTAAAGTTTAATTAATATATACTAATAATTTAAAAATGAATTCATCAAGAAGAATAATTGAAAAATGAAATTAAAATGTTAATTTTAAATTAATTTAAAATAAAAAGTTATAATTTAGAATAAAATTGAAAGGTTTGAAATTTAGATATTAATTTATAATGAGAATTATAGTTTAGAGAATAAATTAAAATATTTAAAAAAATAAAATTTAATTTAAAATGATGTTATAATGTAAAAAAGTGTAGTGTAATTAATTTTATAAATTAATGATTGCTGTTATTTATTTTATATACACACTTTGAAATAGGGGTGAATATCGTTAAAATATTGTATTCAAAGTCGTATATAAACCGACCGTCGTCATTTCAAATTGCAATGCATAGAAGTCGTCCCCTATCTTATTTTTAGCTAAGCTATTGAATTTGTCAAACATGCACGTGATTTTTGAAGTAGAATGTTACACAAGTCTTCAACTAAATAACTAAATCCAAATCACATTTGACTATGCCATATATATTAACTAAAACAGTTTGTCATTTGACCATGAACATGTATATATATATGAAGGGAATTATTTACTTGATTGGTGTTAGATTGGGAATTCCTTATATGAGACTTTGTAAATTATTCAATTTCATGAAGCATTGTAAGAAAAATTATAATCGTAAAATGAAAATTAGAAAAAAAAAGGATGGGCATATGTCGTTGATATACCCTATTAATTTTATAAGATAAAATTTTGTAATAACCATTTTTATTCATATATATATATTAAAAAGAAGAAAAAAAACAGAAAAACAACAATGGGTAACAAGCAAATGGACCGGTTGTTCCTGTCATCACTGTGCTACTTGTAGACATTCGTTTTTTGACCGGACTATATATATAATAATTACTTATTATTATTAATTAATATTATTAATACTATTAATTTTATTTTTGACGCCCCGTTCAACCCCATATCCCACATCCCAAAATGGAGCTGTTACACGAACATGCATAATGGGGATTGTGGAACCACATTAGGGGATCTCAAGTAACTGCTTAATGCACTTCTAATAAACTGCCTACAACCTACGCACCATGGTGGAGGCTATAAAAAGAGCAACAAGGAGAGGGAAGAGGAGGAGTTTTATAAAAAAAAATTGTTTATAATTTCTCTTTTCTTTTCCTGGAAAGAATGTTCTTCCCTGGATCTCTCCTTGGAGGCTGATCAGAGTTCATTGAATCGCCGATTAAAAACAAGTCCATTAAGATCTTTGTTTTCTTTTTTTTATGTAAAAAATGGATGGGATATTCTTCGATCTAGTGGAGTTTTTGAAGAAACAATCGGTAGCTGAAACATTCGTCGACGTTTTGTTATGCGCCATGCTTATATGGTTAGCGGTAATGATCGGGCTCGCGATCGGCTGGTCTTGGCATCCCAGATAGACCGGCTTGGTTTTCCTTGGCCTACGCTCGAAGTTCCGGTTCATCTGGACAGCTCATCCCAGGTTCGGAGCTTTCAGACTCTGGTTCGCCTTCATCGCTCTCTCTGCTCTCTCGGCCTTCTCCATATTTCAGAGGATTTTCTTTGACGTTATGAAAGGGAGATCCAATAAATCGGCAGCTTCGGATTCTACGGTTCCATTGCCATCGTCACCGCCGCCTACGGTGTTGATTTCACGGGAAGGCGCTGCTGAAGCTGTTAGCCTCGGTAGTGAAGTAATTTCAATCGATTAAAGGTAATTATTATTTTGAATTGAATTTTTTAATTTCAATCTAAATTTAAATTTTCGCAATTAAAGACAACCGACAAATTAATTAGTACCGAAAGGGCGGTTCAAGGGTGCTAATCCTTCTTTGACCGTAACCGACTCTCGAACCCGACACATTTCTAGTAAAACGCAAATCAGGTAAGATGGTGTCCGATCTACCTAAATGTTTTTAAAATAATCATTGGCGACTCTAACCCACTCATTCAAGTCGAAGCCCAATTCTGAGTCCAACCAAAAGACGTTCGAGACAGCTTGGCGACTCCACTAGGGACAGGTAAGTGAGTCAGGCCGAAATTAATTTTCGGTTGTCTTTTGGATAGAAAATTGCAAGTTTAAATTTTAATTTATTTATTCGATTCCAATTATTTATCTTTGATTATTTTTCAAATAAAGAGTTGTACTGACGTTTTTTTTCAATGATTTCAGATCTTTAACTTTTTCCATTTAAGGCTCTATACCCGAGCTCCAAACCCGTTTTAAGTTGGGGGTGAAAGCGACGCTCTCGTGAGAATTTATTCTCCGTATGGGCCTAGCAAGTAACCTTCAGGATTCATATACCTTATGTCTTCGTGTGAATTTATTCTCCGTATGGGCATAAGGGAATGTATCCTCTCGAGTTTAACTTAATCCACATAAGCTTGTAATGGGCTTAGGACTAAGGGTTTGGCAATCCCAAGGGGGCACCAGCAAGGAGAACTTGGGTACCATCTTTAGAACCTAAACCGGGAGACTACAAGGAGTTAGAGCTCACCCCAAAACCTCATTCTAAACCCTAGGCTATCTTGAGTTATTTCATGCTTTACTTTATGTTCAAAGCATGCGAATTAGAAATATATGCGGTTATGACTTGTTCAAAATTAACATGCGGGGTAGAGATCATGTTCGGGTAGGAATTAAAGCATTTGGGGGTAGATATCATGTGGGATATGACTTTTTATTCTCATTATTTTTTCTATTATCCTTATCTTACTAACCTTTTTCCTTTAATTTTTATTTTCTTTTACTTTATTTTTTATCATTTACATCATTCAAAAGAGGTGTTGGTTCACAAAAATGTGTTCGTTAAACACAAATAATTTGCATTAATGGACAAAGGGGTTATAATACAAGAGATGAAAAACTCAAAAGTCTGACTATGGTCAGAAAAGACTCATAATGGACTGGGATTTACACTGAGCACATCAAAAGTCAACTTTTTGAGTTGGCAAAGGTTGCAGGGGCAAGACGAGAAAAGGTTACTGACCTGGAGAGTCCCTTCAATGACAATGAGAACAAGAGGGCAAAACGATAGATGAAATTGGAGGCCATTATTGATGAATTCAAGAAGCAAGCAAGTGAGCTTAAGATAATTCCCTCCGATGTAGGTTTCCAATGACGTTTTCGTTGGGAACAGGCTCAGCAAAAGGTGAAAACCAGAGATGCAGCCATTCGAGATTTCTTAGGACAAGTACAAAAAACAGCTCAGAGAGGCTGAACGGTTCGACAGGGTATTCAACCGGTGACAAAAAAGGTGGAAGATGAATCAACCTGTCAGAAGCTGTTCGGGGGTCTAAAAGAATATCTTTTAAAATGTTTTTTGTTTATCAAGAAATAACACTTTTGTCCCCAATAAGGATTATTCATAATAACAGACACATTTTTGGATCAATGCTTCGAACATTGCATGTATCATGCATTCCTGCATATTTCGTATTATTTTTCTCTTTTTTTATTACATTCACATGTCTCATAAAAAATGAAAACATTTCGATCCTATTCCCATGACCTACAAAGATCTTACCAACAACTTTTTGACACCCAAGTGGTGTCACCATATCTGGTGGAACCCATGAAGCCCTCATACCCAAAGTGGTATGATGAGAGTGCCCATTGCGAATATCACAGTGGTGTCCCAGGGCATACTATTGAGAACTGTTATGCATTCAAGAGAATCATGCAAAAGATATGTAACAAGAACTTGATCGACTTTAACAACTCGGGGGCATCCAAATAAGGAAAAAGATCATTTCATTTCATCATTTGCAGTAGCCTGTTTGAATTCGATTTTTGAACTTTATCATATTTCGGTGTAACTTGTTTTTTAACTTCTTTTTCATATGGACAAATTTATGTTACTTTAAGGATGACGAGCAATAAATCAAATTTGCAAACTTAAAATTCTTTGAATATCAACTGAATTAAAAAACTCTATAAATGATTCAGAGTTACAGATCTTTGACAAAGTAACATGATCAAAAATGGATAAAACAAGGACTTTAGACCTTACTTCAGAAATATACACTCAAACACCGTACCTT